TAAGTGAAAGGTAATGACAACATGTTTACTGTATGAAAAAATAAATAAATAAATTATTGCTGGTCAAAACTGCGGCGACGCAAGAGTTCAAACTACTCAAAGGCGTTTATTGTAACTTTTTGTAAGGCGTTTTAGATGCACGGAATAGCTGACGCGTCAGCTATTCCGTGCATCTAAAACGCCTGAAGTGAAATGATTAGTGATGCTGGGTGGATATATTTAAGTCCACAGTTTAGTTAGATATCAGTTTTAAGCACATTTGGAAAACGTAACTCATCTGCATTCTAAGTTAGTGGAAGTGTCGCTTTGCATTAAATTACACATTTCCGTTGTTCATCTTGAGTAAATGGATTTTTGTTTTCATACGCATAGCGTTTCATTATAAATTTAATTTCGTTTTATATTGATCATGCAAACTGACTTAACGTAACGTAGACAGTAGACGCATGACTATATACAGTATATATATATATATATATATATATATATATATATATATATATATATATATATATATATATATATATATATATATATATATATATATATATATATATATATATATATATATATATATATATATATATATATATATATTATATATATATATATATATATATATATATATATATATATATATATATATATATATATATATATATATATATATATATATATATATATATATATATATATGCTGATAACCACAAGGAAAGAAGAAAACACGAATTGATAGTAGGAACATCATAGAATCTAGTCTTATTAAACATACCGAAGCATTCAACATGAATTTGAGTAACGGCATGTACAAGCTGGACAATTTTGTATTTAAGAAGATTTGTAACCAGGTGAGAAGGTTGGGTCACCTGACCATCTGACCTGACCACCAACCGTTGTGTGCTATTTAAAGATTAGTAGGGTCATTACCTAATACCTGACCATTGTGGACCTGGTCTCACCCTCCTCTGTATATATACACCTTGGTTTGTATTTCTCTTTAGTCTGTACTCACCCCTGAAGATGTGAATTACACGAAAGCGCTTGGGAACTTCGTGTTTTCTTCTTTCCTTGTGGTTATCAGCATATACCTAGATCACGCGCACCTACAGTGATTTACTTGCATATATATATATATATATATATATATATATATATATATATATATATATATATATATATATATATATATATATATATATATATATATATATATATATATATGGTGCGGGGCTTTATAGAAATTGCTTGGCCCGCGTGCCACTGGTTAGGCATCTCTGCATTTAAACTGAGGAGACCTTTATTGTAAACCTAATAAAAAATATGAGTTTGGCTTAGTTGGTTTTCGTTTAAATTTTTTTATTTATCTCTTACCTATCTTTTTCTTGAATACAGCAGAGTACATGTAAGTTATCACAACAAAACAAATTCATCTTTATGGAACTTGGTAGGTGATTTTTTTAATGATACACCTGGAATATAAATAAAGAAAATTGATATATTATAAGATAAGTATCTACACCAAGAAGGACGTCCCCTACCAACCTCTCGACGTCCCCCTTGAAGTCGACTCTACCGACGTACACGGTACACACCATTACAATCACACTAAAAGGTATGTCCCTCAATATTGTCAATGCCTATGGCCTGGCACTTGACATTATTAGGGACCTGCCACGCTTTGCCATATACAGATAAATTGTACCAGGAATTTTCCTCCCACACACTCAACATTCTGTCACTTTATGTAACTTGCTGACAAAACCCATGATCCTTCAGGCTTTTACGCCCTTAATGCACGAGTCATAAAAGCAAGCATCAACTCCGCTTGCTTCCCAGATGGACGCTGTAAACACTACCTTGCACAGGATGTAAGGGGGTACACAATAAACTAGCCCCCCTTGGGGGCAATCTAAAAAAAATAATCCACAAGTGTTCACCCTCCAGTTGATTTTAATGGCCTTTCCACAAGAAGGGTTACAAATTTGTTGGCTGTTTATGATATATTTGTCAGAAGTACTTACAGAATATATTGTATACGGTACTGTATGTTCTATTTAATTTTTATTGAGTACAGTATTACCCCGCCTAACGCGGTTTCACTTAACGCGTTTTATCATATACGCGGTGCCTCGCCAGAGCTGAACTTTCACTTAACACGGATTTTTTCCACATATACGCGGTGAGTGTCCGGCTCGAGACGCTATTTTTAGATTTGCCCCACCCGCCACCCTGCCTGACTGCCTGTTTTAGCTCATAAAATTCATACAAATTACCCGGCCAGAATATAATTTACATTGCTGGAATTCTTATAATTTGGTGATCATTTTGAATATAAACATCATATATTTTGCATTAGACATACAAATTTTAGATAAATTTTTTCTCTGAGTAACTATGTTATCTTTTGTGCAAAATATATGACATTTATATTCAAAATATTCCTGGTCTTACAAGGAATCCAGCAATGTCAATTATATTATCCTAACTTTAGTTTGAGGTATTATTTATTACAAAAAAGTTAAGTATTCTGGTTTTCCCACACATCTCCTTGGGACGGTTGGTGGGGGGTGGGGGGGAGGGACCGACCGACCATCTGTTACCCTGTGAAGAATATTTTTTTTTTTTATTAACTGAAGATATTTGTTTTAGCTCATAAAATTCATACAAATTACCCGGTCAGAATATAATTTACATTGCTGGAATTCTTATAATTTGATGATCATTTTGAATATAAACATCATATATTTTGCATTAGACATACAAATTTTAGATAAAATGTTTAATCTGAGTAAGAATGTTATCTTTTGTGCAAAATATATGACATTTATATTCAAAATATTCCTGGTCTTACAAGGAATCCAGCAATGTCAATTGTATTATCCTAACTTTAATCTGAGGTATTATTTAATACAAAATGTTAAAATTTATTTTTTTCACCCCACATCTCTTGAAGGGACGATTGGTGGGGGTGGGGGGGAGGGTTGGGACTGACCGCGCGGTTGGAAGAGGGGGGGAGGCAAGGTGGGGTACTTTGATTGACAGATAGTGTCCTGAAGTTTTTATTTTATTTTTTTATTAACTGAAGATATTTGTTTTAGCTCATAAAATTCATACAAATTACCCAGTCAGAATATAATTTACATTGCTGGAATTCTTATAATTTGGTGATCATTTTGAATATAAACATCATATATTTTGCATTAGACATACAAATTTTAGAAAAAAAATTTTGTCTGGGTAACTATGTTATCTTTTGTGCAAAATATATGACATTTATATTCAAAATATTCCTGGTCTTACAAGGAATCCAGCAATGTCAATTGTATTATCCTAACTTTAGTTTGAGGTATTATTTATTAAAATTTAGTGGTTTTCCCCCAAAAATTTCTCAGAGAGGGAAGAGCCGGCAGTGTAGTGTGAGAGGGGGAGGGATTTGAGTCCATTATTTGAATGGACATTAACTTGGCGACTGTATTTCTCTATTTCTCTTAAGTATTAATTGTGTGCATGTACCATCATAAAATTAAGATGTTATTTTTACTAGAACATAGTTATGTGTCTTCAAAAAGTGGAGTTTGGGGGTCGGGCCGGTTTCTATTGGAATTAATCCCATATGTTCTGTTGTTCACTTAACGCGGATTTCACTTAACACGGGACCCTCTGGGTTCTATTGACCGCGTTAAGTGGGGTACAACTGTACTGTTATGTATATTGGGTGAAGGCATCAGGCATGTGTATTGTGTATGTAGGTACGGTATTTATCATGTTTTTTACCTGGAGAAATCTGGAGGTGCTCAGTTGGGAATGATATGTGGATTGCAGTTGTGAGAGGCAAGCCGTTAGTTTGTCTTTACTTCTGCAAACACAGGCCTGTTACCAGGATTTTCAAGGGGTCCTTTATAGTTTCGGAGGCAGATAATGGTTTAAAACTTATTTACCTGAGGTAAAGATCTTTAAAATACCACTAGCAAAACTATAATGTAGATACTGTACCGTGCTGTACTGTATACCAGTGACCTCGCCGATAGATCATGAATTGTGTTATATCATGAATTCTTGGGAATAATGTTTGTAAAATGAATATGTGCATTAATTTTAGTTGGAATGTTATGTAACTAGAATTTAGAGTACTGTACTGTATATGGGTGGTTGATAAGCACATTTCAAAGTGGTCAGACATTCCATGCACTGCTCTAATTACACATACAATACATTGATATCAACAACTTACATATCATTGCTCACTCTACCAACACCAAGTTTAATAAGGCTTAAACTTCTCTATTATCACATCAACTATTTTTTTATCCACTCAACTGGTCTAAATGCACATCTTGGTGTTTATTCCCATCTATTCCTGGCTCTCCACATATCATTACAGTCTCCTCCACTTCCTAAACACTAATTTTTTACATTTAACAGCCCCGCTACCATAATATTCTGGGACTAACACCCTTTTAGTCTGTTGCAGAACTCCTTATTTAGTCACTCTCCAATAGCTACTACAGTACCTCACTTTTTTCTCTTTATCCATCTAGGCACTCCCCTATTACCCTCACTTGTCCTCTGCTCATCTCTTCTTATCCTTTAGCATTGTTTTAACCATTTCTTGCTACTCCGATTACTTCCAATCTCATTACAAACACTTGAGTGTTTATATAATTGTTTTTCTTTTTAGTAACTGAATACAAACAAGAAGGTGAGGTTAGCAGCCTCAACTATGAGGGGTGCATCAAACCCCAAACAGATAAGCTGCACCTATGTTCAATCATTGCTAGATTTATTGACCATTTTCATGTATGGGGACTCAATGGACTGTCCCACTCAGGAATCGTGACCCATAAAGTTTCTAACTTGGGTGTGTTTAGAATATAGGCGATGTCGATAAATATAATTGCTTACTCCCTTGCTTAGTATTACTCTTTATTACTTTGTTTATCTCAAATACTGCAATATCAATATATCTGTAAAAAGTAATATTCCATGATTTCTTTTTGCAGTCAGAGGATTCTGGGCAGTTGTCACCAGTCTCTGTGGGAGAGACATCACTGCCCTATACCAACCAAGGGATGATGGTGACATCAATGGCCAGTCTCCAAACCACCAACACTCCATCAGAGGTCAGTACAGTAATTAAAGTACCATATTTTACGACAGGGAGTATTTAGGAAAAAAATTGTGTATTTTCCTCTTGTAGTCATAGTTTTCTTAAAATAATACAGCTGCTCCCCGACTTACAATGGGGTTAGGGACCCAAATCCAGGTCGTAAGTCGAAAATGCTTAAATAATACATAGAAAATCTAAAATGGGTGTCTCTTTTTCTTCTCAGCACTACAAAACTCTCACTTTTAAGCTTGCCAGCCATTTTAAAGTGAATTACAAACGAAAATATTGTCAGAAAACTCTCACTTTTAAGCTTGCCAGCCATTTTAAAGTGAATTACAAACGAAAATATTGTCAGTACGCATTATCAGCGCTAATCAATGACGCGCCAGACCTCGAAAATACGTAATTTGACAAAATTTTGGTACGACTGAGGCAGTCGTTTGTCCGGGTGGTCGTAAGTCAAGTAGGTCGTAAGTCGGGGAGTAGCTGTATATGCTGTACCAGTAAATGTGAGGAGTAAATAAAAATAATACCAATAAATAAGTAAAAAACAAAAATTCTGTATTGCCAAACTGGTAAAGAGAAGCCAAATGAAAGTTTAACACAGTCGCCATTTGCATATACTGTACTGTACTGTACTGTACTCCTTGGTTCACCATAGCAATGCAGACACTACCTCTGCCAATTCCCTAGCAATGCTCCTTTCCCTCTCACATGCCTCACCGCCTTCCACACCTCCCACTCAGCCAGCTAACTCGTGTGCAAAGAAATGTATATTCCCTATATGTGTTTGCCCTTAGGACAATTATTTCATTTACTTTTTCACAATATGTATGTAGGATGGTGTGTTCATGTAATTGAGTAAAAAATAAATGAAGAAAGCTATGTATATCTACCCAAAAATATGAGATGAAAAACAACCCTAGCACCTCATAGTTTATCCCAGTAGCCTGGTGGTTACAATGATGAGTCAACCCTGGCTGCAATACCATCAACGATGTTAACAGATGCAGATGTGAAAAGATAATTATCTGTAAATCTTCATTTGTATCAGTTGTTTGTAGATTTAAAAATAAATGTTGCAGATATGGCATTAATAGATTGTAATGCTTGTAAAAATTCAGAAATAGTTACTGTTTAGCTACCTCTGAAGAGTTGGGTGTCTGCTGTACGGATGTTAATCGTCTCAGGTTATCATCATCACTACAGTAGTTATAAATGTGTTCAAGTCAGCAATAACATATTTTTTTGAGTTGGCTTAGGTTGAATTTTGCCTACTGGAGACAATAACTGGGGGGATTCATTAGCTTACAGGAGACCTCAGCTTCACATATACAGGTAGGACTGATTTTTTTATCCATTTTTCAGACAAAAAAGTGCATCTTATATGCTGTAAAATACGGTACAGGTATCTATAAGTTGAAGTATCCCATGTGGTTTTTGAGATGTAGATATTGTACATTACAGTAATTTTCTTCAATCCATTGCAGGATGATGATGGTTCATCAGTTTCATATGTGTGACAATTGTTAATCACGTTGGTTATTGATATTTAGCACACTTCTACATTCTGTTATTTCATTGACAGTACAGTGATCCCTCGGTTAACGAGCGCCTCGGTTAATGAGCGCCTCGGTTAACGAATTACCTTCCATAAGATTCTTCACTTCGGTTAACGTGCAAACCCCCGGTTAACGAATTCCTTACGAATTTTTCCCAACATGTTTTCGCCTGCTCACCAGCTGTAGTATTAGTATGCCAATACAGTAATTGGTTTTAGGGCTTAAATTCGAAACCATTTGAGTAAATATCAAGAAGGTTGTACTATTCAATAATTTTCCAAGTCTTACATTAAAGTTTTTAGTCATTTTAACAATTATTTAACATAATTGAAGTACAGGGAACTAGTTTTTAGTGCACCAAACAGCCACTCAACACACCCAAAATGGCGTCAGTGTGTGTCCCTGTTCAGAGGAGGAAGCATCTTGCTTCAGACTCTCTTGAACATAAACTATTTTTATGTTTTTACAGTACAGTGAGTTCTGCTATAATGCGTGTTTTGATAACGCGAATTTGCTCTAACGCGATTTATGAATTAGGAACGATATTTGTATAACGCGAACGCTTGTTTGCTATAACGCGATTTTTGCTTACTATTTCTCCAATTTTGTGGTACAGTGGGGTATGCTATAATGAATCTAATTGGTTCTAGAACCTTGTTCGTTATAGCATTCGTTTGTTATAGGATTAATCCGTTCCAGGCCCCCAAATACAACCACTTAACACTGAAAAATATAATATAAAATTGTAAAAATTGTAAAAAAGTGCATAAATATGCATCTAAACCCCTGAAATAAAGAATATCATTAATATTTGTAATAATAAAACAATAAATTAGAAAAAAAAATAAATAAATTATGTTCGTTGTAGGAGTTTCGTTCGTTATAGCATTCTCAATTTTATAGGTAAAACCGTTCGTTATAGGAATATTCGTAGTAGGATCCGTTCGTTATAGCATACCCCACTGTATTAACTGTGAATATAGTAAAGAAGAATATCAACAAGAAGCGTTCTGGTGATAGAATTCCCGGTGATGATCGTAAAAGAAAGGATATAACACTTGAAGAGAAGCTCGATTTTATCAACCTCAAAATCACCCTTCTCCCCCATCAAGTAAAGTGTTACATTTACTGTATGATTTCATCATTAGATATGAATGTAACATTTATTTAGACTGTGCTATCCTTTGTGTTAGGCTAACTACTAAATTTTTTCGATTTCGAGTAATCTGCACCTAACCCTATTTTCTCCATAAGCCCTGTTATTTCTATTTCGCGATTTTCTATAACACGATATTTTACAAGAACACAATTATCGCGTTATAGCAGAACTACCTGTACAATTATTGGTCATTCTGAAGTTTATTTTACATATTGACAATATATAATGCAGTGCAGTGTTGATTTAAAGAAAATAAACTTGAATTACACCAATTGAACTAAAATTTTATTGTTGAATAGTTGCATGGGGTGACTTCTCTTCCACACCAATGCCTTCTCTTCTCCCTTCTCCTCCATCCCCATTCTAATTCCCATCATCATCATCATGCACACCTCAAAGTAAGTGTACTTTACTGCATTTATTTTTAGTTTGTATGTAAATTTAGGTGAGCTGGAACCAATTACCCAAAAACCCATTGAAACAGTGGTTTCGGTTAACGAATTTTTCGGTTAACGAGCAACCTTCTGGAACAAATTGTGCTCGTTAACCGAGGGACCACTGTATGTGTGACAATTGTTAATCACATTGGTTATTGATATTTAGCACACCTCTATATTGTTATTTCATTTACAGTATGCAAAACAGTTGATACTTAAACTCCACATGCATGTTTGAGGGGCAACATGTATTGAACCCAAGACATTACCACCCAGTTACCATATTGCACTACTGTACCGTATAAATAAACTGAAGGATGAGGGCACCTCACTTGGTATACACTTGGGAAAAAGTACCAGCTGAAGAAAATAATCAGAAAAAGAAGTGTACAGTACTGTATATGCAAAGGAAATATTGAATGACGACAACTTAAACATGGAAAAGAGCCATAAAACATAAAGGATGATGATTATTACCTGTATAGCTGATGTTCAACCTGCATCACCTCAAGGTTTATATATATCATGTGAGAAATAGGTTTTATGTAATTAAACTAAAAATATTTATTTATTTACTTATTTTCAGACTGTAATGCTGTGTTCACTACCCCAGAAGCAGGTTCAGCATGCTGTGATCTTGCCTCCGGTACATGTTTTAAGTATTGCTGTTTGTATGACCTTCTTGTACTTTTTTACTTAAATATGGCTGTAATTTATTCCTTTGATCAATACTGTGTTTAGTCTGCTAAGTACTATATTACAGAAATTTAACAGGGAATGCATTTTAATGATACATACCAGAAAATCTGTTAATGTATGACAAAAATCATAGCAAAAATCACTTCACAGTCACTAAAACAGTACAGTACAGTACTGTACAATGTAAGTACAGTATTAGTGATGTCCTCTCACTGAAAGGTAAAAAAAAAAAGATACCGATGATAAGTAACAACACTGATACTGACCGATAAACATTGACCTACATGATCACGGCCATGTGAAATCACCATAGAACAAAAGCTTCATACTTCAGTGCACTGTATGACTGCGTGACTGCAGCTGACAAGTGAACTGAGAGATACGTTCCCTATTCTGCTTTGGCTTGATGATGACCATGTTCATGCCAATTGTATACTGTACATAATAAATGGGGGTTTGGTCTTATTACTCACCATCGTTAAAACGGAATATCTCAGAGAGGGAGATTGTAAATCGGAGGATACCTGTACTGTACTGTACTGTATTTTCAATTTCTTGAACCAACTATCTGTTTGGCATGTAGACTTATCGTATTTTGATGAAATACAGGAAGTAGCTTCATTAGGACTTGTAGTGCTTCTTAAGGGTATTTTAGTGGATACAGTATTTGCAAGATTCTCAGTTTTTACTGACCATTTTGTCACTCAAGTAAGTGCATGTTTTCATGAAGTATATTAGGAGAGAGTGAATACTACTTTTTAAATTTTCTTAATATCTTTAGATGTCGGGGAGTTTTGTGAATTATAAATTTCATCCAAACATATACCTGCAATTTCACTTAACATTTAGCATCTAAAACAATTTTAAATCTCATGCTGTACTTGTTTCTTCCTGAAAGCTTAACCTAGAGTTTCTTTAGTCAGTGGTTCTGATAAGTTACTAATGTTCATTATAACCTGTTCAGCATACTCAGGTGCAGTCAACATCCCACATGGCTCCAATGGTTGGTGTGGTAGATGTTCCCGTCCTCAGTGATTCTGAAGGTGAATACGGATTTCAGGTTACAGTTGAGGACAAGGAGCGCACTACTAAAAGCCCAATGTGGTTGGTAAGTACATTATTCTTTTAAAGGATAGTTGTATTGGGTTTACCATTTGTGCCATGAATTATAGACAACAAATTGATGGGATTTCCTTGAGGTGAAATTGATGGGAGAAAAATCTTTATGGAAAAGTTGAATTCATGTCCTCAGGTACAATCCCCTTCTTTAGTGTGTTTACGGGGGTTATCAGATTTTGAGTGATGTGGAAGCGCTGTTTGTTTACATTCGACAGAAGGAAACTCAATAGTAAACATACTACGGAATCAAATTAAAACAAAAATATCAAAGATAATGATTTGTGGAATGTTTATATAACGAACGCCTGTAAACGCACTAGTGAAGGGGACTGTACCCATTGCTTATACTGTATCACAATAGACCCTCACGTACCTTCCCTAACATCCACTTTTTCCTGTTCTGGTGAAGAAAAATTTAGCTCCTGTGTATTATATTGAGTCTGTGTGTTATATTGAGTCTGCCAATTTTTAGTTTTGGTTAGTGCTTTGCTGAATTTACATCAAGTTATAAAGAATGCATTAACTGAGCCATCAAAAACTATGAAAAAAAGGTTTATAATTAATTTATATAAAAGTGAATAGTGTTGTTTAAAGATTGATTTATACATGCACCTGTACTGTATTTTTATAAAAAAGTAATACAGTATTGACAGGTAGACTGACCATAAATTTAATTATACATAAGGAAAATGATGTAGCTAAAGAGCATTGAAGCTTGACATGACTATTTAATATGAAACAATTGATCTGTTTTCTTTAACTTCTGAAAATACAAAATTACCCATCTATATAATGATTTTCAGTAAAGTCAAGTTGACGTATGTAACTGATTATTTTATGTAAGGAACTAACAGTTTTGCTTGATAATTTGGTATTTATACATTCTTGAAGGTCTAAGACAGGGAAATACAGTACTGTACAGTCATACTGTAGTTAATTCTGACTGGTTAAAGGAGTCCTACAGTCTTTGTTCTATGTTTTCAGTAAATTAACTTCAGAATTATCTAACTTGTTGTTTTTAAATACAAATATTCCCCGATGTACAATCACATGTTTTACAATAATTTGAGTTAACAATAATTTGGTTTTAACATCCTCTCGTAATTTAAGTTCGGGCAAAATCCACTTTAACAATGGTTATCGTTTGACAAAAGTCACTTTACGCGGAATGTAAACACTGGTAAAGCACTTCTTTCCCTTCACTAGTCAAATCCAAGATGGCCAATATACACAGAAACTGCTTTATCTACCTGCTCGCTGTCTCATATCCACCATGTGAATATATAGTCCTGCTCTTTGTTTCAACATGAACGCATCTGCCCACGCTCGTGTAAACAAATCGTGTAACAAACAATATCATTATTAATTGTTGTGTAACCATACAATTGCTGTGACATTTTGCCATAATTGGTGAGAGGAAAACATTATTTATTGTTCAGTTTTTGCTCTGTTTTGATAACAGGGGCCCCCCCAAATTCCTGGATTTTTATTTTGCGGTCCTCTATTACTCACAGATGACATTCTGGATGTACCCAAGAATGTCTGTGGTTAATTTTAAAGTTGCCGGCATTTCGCAGCTGGGACAGGGAACCATTCGTTCTAGAGACAGTAATTTCCTTTACCTATATTGTAAATATGTAAACACATACAAATAATCAGAAAAAAATGTATTAAAAATGTGTCAGTCTACCCTCAAGTCCGTGCTTTATTAAATAAAGCACCGACTTCAAGGTAGACTCACATTTTAATAATTTTTTCTGATAATTTGTGAGAGTATTTTTCCATTATTATTTTTTTGTGTGTGTGTGTGTGTGTACACACACACACCAGATATACAGTAAAGCCTTGAATAACGAGGTAATGTGTCCTCCAATATTGCAGTGTAAGGTGAATCATTGTATCACGAATCATTAATTGCCATTAAAATAAAGCAATAATAATGAGATGCATTCCCAAGAGTGACCTTTTCATATCTTTTGTGTGGCTTTTTACCCTTTTTTTCCCCCCAAAACAATACAATTAATGAAAATTGCAAACTATATTCTTTAAATAATGTTTCTGAATGCACCTTCGACAATATAAATGAATACTAATATGGTCACACAAGAGGAGATGGGAAGCCATTGTTTTCGTTTGTGTTTACAGCTGGGAGTCCGGGACGATAGTTCTACACGAGAAAATGAAGAAAATCAGACCCTGGTTGTAGCTGTAGGAAAATTAATGTAAAAAAATAAGTATATATATATATGTTTTAAGTAATGTTATTTAATGTTAATAAATGGAATAAAAGAAGTAACTAACCACTAATGGTAAAGAAACAAAAAGAGATGGATTGGGAACGCCAACATATACGTGCGCATTTAAGGATACCGCGTCATTTATCATTTCAAGAATATGTACGAAAGATTATTATTGTTTATTACTGAATGTGTATTTGATTGCATTAATCCTTAACCAGTATATGCGAAATGAACAATACAATTCATTTATAATACGTAGAATATTAAAACACACAAGAGGATAAGAGACGGCATTGTTGTCAGTGTTCACACTCATAATGTCGGTTATCCACCTGAAACTGAAGAAAATAAGACCCTGGTTGTTGTAGTAAAATTAATGTAAAAAATATGTATGGTTTAATTAATGTTATTTAATGTACAGTAGAAGTAATCACTGACATTAAAGAAAAAGGCGAGACTGATAGTGGAACGCCAATGTATACGTGCGCACTCAAGGAAACCGTCATTTATCTTAAGAATACCTGTACAGTATGTACAAAAGATTCATTATTGTTTATTGCTGAATATGTACTCGTACTAGAGTGCTATGCTCTAACGAATTGGTTCCAGAACCTCGTTCGTTATAGCATTCGTTCGATGTGCAGAGCGCCTTAGACCCGCCGGCTTATTCACTGCTAAATACAACCAATTAACACTGAAAAAATTCTGTAAATGATAAAAAATACAGTACTATCTTACCTTAGTGTTATTCAGCATGCAGGTACCCTAAACACTGGCACATCACTATCACTTCCACTGGGAGTCTTGGCTTTAAGGTCCTCAAACAATTGTTTAGCCTTCTCTCAAATTATAAGCTTCACTAATGTACCACCTGCCATTTCTTTCTCCTTTATCACACACTAGATAAATTTTCCATCTCTTCAATCACATTACACTTTGCTTTGCTAAGTCTAAAGATTCCCTTAGCACGCTCAGTTTTAACTCCTCTTTATTCTTCAAAATCATTACATATAGTCGATTTAGCCATCCATATTCATCACTAAGTTTAACAATACTTCCATTCTCACATTTCTTTACAATTTCTTTCTTAGTTTTCAAGGGTTATTAGCTTTCTCACTGCTTTGGAGCGACTCATTATTACAATTGTATGCTTGTATAACAAAATAGTTATACAAATAATGCAATTTCATCAAAAGACAGAAATTTCAACAATAACAGTGGTGCACTGGCTACATAATGAGACAAAGATGGCGCCTGGCGCTCTTGTTTGTGGATCGGCAGTACAACAATATTCATCATGGCGAGAATAGTCCGTATTCATCGCGTTAGTTGTAGGAGTTAGTTAGTTATAGCATTCTCAATTTTATAGGTAAAACCGTTAGATTATAGGGAATATTAGTAGTAGGATCCGTTAGTTATAGCATACCTCACTGTATTTGATTGAATTAATGTTTATATATGTGAAATGAACAATGCAATTCATTAATAATACATAAAATATTAAAACACACTAGAGGATACAAGACAGCAAAGTGGTAAAGTAAAAAAAAATAAGGACAGCCAATGAATATTGTGCGAGTTTTTACTCAGATGACGAAGTCATCAGGTTCAACTCTGGCTGAAGCTGTAGCTTTCCATAAAGCTGTTGCTGAAACTGTTACTGATCCTGAAGTTGCTGTTGAAGCTGCTTATGATGCTGAATTTGATGGTGTAGCTGAAGTTGATGGTTTAGGCCTTCGAATAATAAAGATGTTGAAAGAACCTTGCACAGCTGCTTTTCTCGTTGTACATCTCTATGTAGAGTTCATTTGCTTTATTTAAATTTTAATGCTCTGTTCTGTTAATGGATCCACTTCAGAAAATATGTTCATTGGTTGCTCCATATAATATCCACAGACCTCTCACCTTTTTCATATCGTTTTAACACATCTAGTTTCTCAGCTAAGCTTATACACTTTCAATTCGCTTTTGAAACACTACCAGCACTTGCTCTCTTGCTCATGTTGAATAGGGATGCAAAAATACTGTATACAACCTGAGAAAGTTTTTCTCCTGTTCCTGTTCAGATACGTGAAAACAAAGGGACCGCCAGTTCCAACTGTTGTTTACTGGCGATGCGCATTACCACTCATTAGCCAGGCAACTTCTTTGCGCAAGGTGCTTTTCTTTTCTATTTTACAGTAATTTTATTTATTTTTCATAATTCATATGGGAATTTAGTTATTATTTATATGAAAATGTAATTTTACTTTATTTTTATTATAATTTGGTTGTTAATACGAATGAAATATGGACGTAAATTGAATTGGGTCCTTAAATATGGAAAGTTGTTGGTCGAACCGTTGTTATCAGAGGCTTTAGTGTACTATACAGGCAAAACAAAAAATATTGTCCTAAGGGCAATACTGTGAAGTGATTAGTGTAATTCTGTAACTTTGAACATAGCTAGCAAGCTTCCTGCTAATTCGGAGTCAGATTGCTATCACCGCTCAATCAACAAGAGTTTGCTTAGCCTCAGAGGGGAAATGTGATTACGTCCAGGCTTGTTAGTATTAATGTGGTGAGTGTTTAATTTTGAAATTTTTTTTTAATTACTGTGGGATCGTTTTTTCTGCAGTACTGTACATATCTTTGTCGGAAAGGCCAGGAACATATCTCATGTTACAAGGGTTGCGATTTAGGTTAGGGTTTTCAGGAATGCAATTCTATCACAAATTGGGGGATACTTGTACAGTACATATTACTATTTAAGTTGGGCGACCAGGGAATAGTTATTATAGTCATCATTATCTTAAATCATTTTTTATTTTCAGATGAGCAGAATCACTAATAAATTATACACAAATATAAATAAAGCCGTGCCATTTGAAATTTCCCTTAAGAAGCCTATTGACATCTCCCAGTTCTCCATTCGAGCAGTTCCAGTATTCTCCAGTCCCCAGTTTTTACGTACAAATGTCAATCGCTGTCCCAATCATGCCGCACCTGCAGACGCGACCAATCATGGTAAGTTATAATGTGTGTGGATTCAAGAATATATGCCTCCAATTTCTGTTATGTAGCTGATATTTGCTCTTTGTTACCTTAGTAGCCATAAAAATTTTATAAACTGAATGATATGTTCGTGATGATACTGGAGACACTGTTTTAGTAGAACATGATACTTCAGTTAAAGGACTTCCTACCTCAGTTTGAAGAGGTGAATAAACACATTTTTACCTTTTGTTCTGTAAACAATATTAATTTCTTATCTTTGTCAGATTTCCCATTCACCGAGCACGTTGTGAGGGCTGACCACCCTGGGGCTCGCTATGTGACAAGTTCCTCAGGGCGTTTGTCAGTTGTAGTCCCATTAGACACACTGCAGGATGGGTCAGAGTACACTCCCATTCTTCTCAGGTTTATGTGCCTTGGGTCTTGTGTTGGAGGTATTAATCGTAGACCCATTGCCATCATACTTACACTTGAAAACCGGTAAGTTTATTACAGTACTGTACTACAGTATTGTATTCACAAATGATTGTAATACTGTATATATACAGTGGTCCCTCGGTTAACGAACACAATACGTTCCACAGAGTCATTCGTTAACCAAAAATTTAGTTAACCGAATCTATTGTTTCAATGGGATATTGGGTAATTGGTTCCAGCTCACAGAAAAGTAAATACAAAGTAAAAAAAAATGCAGTAAAGTACACTTACTTTGAGGTGTGTATGTAGAAGGTTCCTGGTTGATGATGGGAATTAGAAGTGGGGGTGGAGAAGGAAGAAGAGACAGAAGTGGGGATAGAGGAGAAATCACCTTTCAGGGGACCCATGCTTGATGCAGTAATTTTGCCAATAAAATTTTAAGTTCACTAGGTGTAATTCAAGATTATTTTATTTATTTCAAAACACTGCACTATATATTATCAATATGTTAACTAAATTTCAGAATGATCAATAATTTTAATGTAAAAATTTTCAAGACACCAACAAAATCGATGTTCACTCCACTGTAAACAAAGCCAAACTGACGCCTGGTGGGTGAGTCAAGTGGCTGATGGGCGCACAAAAAACTAGTTCCCTATGCTGTACATATTATCAATGTGTTAACTAAATTTTAAAATGACAAATAATTTTAATATAAAAAATGCAAAAATATTAAAGAGCATCAGCTGATGTTCACAACAAAACATGTTTGTCGTAAGGATTTCGTTAATCAAAGTTTGGTTCATTAACCGAATTGAATATCCTTATGGGAGGTAATTCGTTAACTGAAATTTCGTTAATCGAACTGTTCGTTAACCGAGTGACCACTGTATATATATATATATATATATATATATATATATATATATATATATATATATATATATATATATATATATATATATATATATATATATATATATATATATATATATATATATATATATATATATATATATATATATATATATATATATATATATATATATATATATATATATATATGTATATATATATATATATATATATATATATATATATACACACACACACAGTGGGGTATGCTATAGCGAATCTAATTGGTTCTAGAACCTTGTTCGTTATAGCAATCGTTTGTTATAGGATTAATCCGTTCCAGGCCCCCAAATACAACCACTTAACACTGAAAAATATAATATAAAATTGTAAAAATTGTAAAAAAGTGCATAAATATGCATCTAAACCCCTGAAATATAGAATATCATTAATATTTGTAATAATAAAACAATAAATTAGAAGAAGAAAAATTAAATTATGTTCGTTGTAGGAGTTTCGTTCGTTATAGCATTGTCAATTTTATACTTAAAACCGTTCGTTATAGGAATATTCGTAGTAGGATCCGTTCGTTATAGCATACCCCACTGTATGTATATATATATATATATATATATATATATATATATATATATATATATATATATATATATATATGTATCTTGATAAAATCACACGGGAAAATGGAAACAACGGAGTACCTTAGCTTTCGTCTTTATTCAAGACATCTTCAGAGGCAACTAGATTACATGGACAGAGAGAGGCTTAAATATACAGGGTGACCTAAAAACATGAGGTCAGGTCATAATGATGACATCCACTAATCCCCACACCAACACAACCGTAGAGGAGCTTAAGAGAAGGGTGGTGACGTGACTAGACAGGTCAGGTCAGAAAAAAGGGACCCACAAAATAACTGTCATACATCAAGATCAAAGGTTTTCAAAGCAGTTTTAACCTTGGGCCACTGACAAATAAATTTATGTAACATATTATCAGTTTTGAACTGACCATCACTAACGAACGCCTCAGTTAACGAAATTTCTGTTAACGAATTACCTTCCATAAGACTCTTAATTTCGGTTAACGAACAAAATTCGGTTAACGAAATTCTTACGAAAATGTTTCGACATGATTTGGCTTGCTCACCAGCTGGAAGATTAGTCCACCAATACAGAAATCGGTTCTGGGGCTTACATTCGTTAAAATTGGAGTAAATATCAAGAAGGTTGTACTATTCAATAATTTTCCAAGTTTTATATTAAAATTTTTAGTCTTTTTAACACTTATTTAACATAATTGCAGTACAGAGAACTAGTTTTTGGTGCACCCATCAACCACTTCACTCACCCACCAAGGCCTCAGTTTGTGTCTCTGTTCAGTGGAGGAAACATCTTGCTTGTGGGTCTCTTGAACACAGAGTATTTTTATGTTTTTACAGTACAATTATTGGTCATTCTGAAATTTATTTAACATACTGACAATATATAGTGCAGTGCAGTGTTGATTTAAAAAAATATTCTTGAATTACACCTAGTGAATTTAAAATTTTATGGGTGAAATGACGGCATCAAGCATGGGGTGATTTCTCTTCCACCCCCACTTCTAATTCCCATCCTCATTATCATCAACCAGGAGCCTTCTACACTCACCCCTCAAAGTAAGTGTACTTTACTGCATTTTTTTTAGTTTGTATGTAATTTTCGGTGATCTGGAACCAATTACCCAAAATCCCATTGAAACAATGGTTTCGGTTGACGAAATTTTCGGTTAACGAACGACCTTCTGGAACGAATTGTGTTCGTTAACCGAGGGACCACTGTATATATATATATATATAATGGAAGTTGCAGTTGGTCTGTTCTTTGTTACAACCTTCATTGTCCAGTGTTCATACAGTACAATACAGTTCATGATACTGTATGTAAATAACTTTTTCTAGTAACATAAAGTGCTTCACACAAATTCATTAGGAAAATGATCAAGAAAATTTTAATATTACAGGATTCCACCAGACCTTGCTCACATTTTGTGTTGTCCATCACTTGTTGTTTGTTGTATTCTTTGTAGCAGAATTTAGTTAAATTGTCCTTTGAATGATTTAAGCAAATTTGAGAGATAATACGTTAAGATGGAGCATTTAAGAACATATACTGTAGTATATGGCACCTAATAACCATTCATCACTTAGGAGCTCATGACATGTTTCAATCAAGTATAGATGCAAAATTTTTATAGTATATGTGGAGCCTGATAGAATTAGGTTTTAGGGATGAAAATTTGAAATATACAGTACAATACAGTACAGTATTTGTGAATATATCCAATACTTCCTCCGTGTGGTGATTTATTTCTCTACCCAAATTTTATCTATACAGTATGGATATACACAGTATATGTTACTGATTATAATAACATAAATATTTAGGAAAGTCCAACATTAGCCACTCAAATTTTGATTGATTGCTGCTTCTCTTATTTGGATTGTCTTGCATTAAAGTTAATTTTTCTTACAGTGTGGGTGAAGTATGTGGCAGGAAAATGATTGATGTACGTGTATGTGCTTGTCCAACTCGAGATATCAAAACTGATGAGCAAACCATTTTGAACAAAGGAGGAAAACGGAAAGGGAGTACTGTTGTTCAAGTGAGTTTTATAATAAATGCTGCTTTCTGGTAAGGGATTTTGAGTTTTAAGTAATTGAGAAATACTATTGTGTCAACTTTCCCGATCCTACAAATTTACTTGATGATCTTTATTTAAGTCACATTTATCTCTATGTACTACAGTATAATGTAGGGACTTACATGGTGATGAAACTGTTGCACAGTACATTGTTTCATCCTGGAATGCAACTAGGCTGTTATGTTCTTCTCCATAGGTGTATCCAACTTTGAAAAAATATATGCTGGTCTTATCTCTCCATCTCATATTACTGTACCTCTTAAATTCAGAAAAAAATAATTTTTTTTTGTACATAAGGGAAGTTTTGCTTGTTATTTTTATTTTTTTTTACTTTTTTTTAGCATCCCTTGCTTTTGATGTAGCTCATTCATGCATCCAATTTATCACCTGTCACATGTTTTAATACTGCCTGTCTGTCCATCCATCTGTTACCATCTTGATCTAAGAGCTTTTAGGTCAGAATACCGTCCACTGATGAAAATTATATTAGTTAGATATCCTTCCATTAGAGGAAGAAAGGCACTGTCATTTTGGGATCACCATTTCAGGATCAGTATTGCTAAGACTGCATTATTAACCTTTGAACTAATATATTTATTAATATCAAAGAAAATGATACAGTACAGTGAAGCCTTGAATAACGACGGTAATGTGCCCTCCATATTGCAGTGTAAGGTGAATTGTCGTATCGTGAATCATTAATTACCATTAAAATAAAGCAATAATAATGAGATGTGTTCCCAAGAGTGACCTTTTCATATCTTTTGTGTGGCTTTTTACCCTTTTTGCCCCCAAAAACAGTACAATAAATGAAAATTGCAAACTATATTCTTTAAATAATGTTTCTGAATGCACCTTATTCAATATAAATGAATAATAATATGGTCACACAAGAGGAGATGGGACGCCATTGTTTTCGTTTGTGTTTACAGCTGGGAGTCCGGGACGATAGTTCTACACGAGAAAATGAAGAAAATAAGACCCTGGTTGTAGCTGTAGTAAAATTAATGTAAAAAAAATGAATATATGTGTTTTAAGTACAGGTAATGTTATTTAATGTTAATAAATGGAATAAAAGAAGTAGCTAACCACTAATGGCAAAGAAAAACAAAGAGATGGATTGGGAACGCCAACATATACGTGCGCATTTAAGGATACAGCGTCATATATCTTTTTAAGAAAATGTACTGTACAAAAGGTTTCATTATTGTTTATTACTGAATATGTATTTGATTGAATTAATCTTTATACTGTATATGCAAAATGAACAATACAATTCATTAATAATATAATACACAGAATATTAAAACATGCAAGAGGATAAGAAACTGCCTTCTTAGTGATTACACCCATAATGTCAGTTATCCACCTGAAACTGAAGAAAATAAGACCCTGGTTGTTGTAGTAAAATTAATGTAAAAAATATGTATGTTTTAATTAATATTATTTAATGTACAGTAGAAGTAACCACTGATATTAAAGAAAATGGTGAGACTGATAGTAGAATGCCAGTATATACGTGCGCACTCAAGGAAACCGTCATACAGTGACCCCTCCGTTAACGAACTCAATCCGTTCCAGAAGGTCGTTCGTTAACCGAAACCATTGTTTCAATGGGTTTTTGGGTAATTGGTTCCAGCTCACCGAAAATTTCCTAAATTCAACAAAAATGGTAGAAAAGTTCACTTACTTTGAGGTGTGTATGTAGAAGGCTCCTGGATGATGATGATGATGATGGGATTTAGAATGGGGGTGGAGGAGAAGGAAGAAGAGAAGGCATTGGGGTGGAAGAGAAGTCACCCCATGGTGCCATTTCACCCATAAAATTTTAGCTCTCTGGTGTAATTCAAGATTATTTTCTTTAAATCAACACTGCACTGCATTATATATTGTCAATATGTAAAATATATTTCAAAATGACCAATAATTTGCTTGGAAACACAGAAAAAAGGCATTTAGTTGAAGAGAGTCTCAAGCAAGATGTTACCTCCAGTGAAAACAGAGAGAGACTAACTCCTGTTTGCTGTGTTAAGCGGCTGGATGCCGCGCATTAAACTAGTCACTTTACCTTTCAATTATGTTCAATAATTGTTAAAATGACTAAAAATTGAATATTAAACTTTTAAAATTATTGAATAGTATAAACTTCTTGATATTTACTAAAATAGTAAGGAATTTAAGCCCTAGAACCGATTAATGTATTGGCGGACTGATACTAAAGCTGGTTGCCCGGTCAGTGCAAGCGAAAACATGTTGAGGTCGGTTCGTAAGAACTTCGTTAACCGAATTTTTTTTCGTTAACCGAATTGAAGATCCTTATGGAAGGCAGTTCGTTAATCGAAATTATGTAAACCGAGGTGTCACTGTATATCTTAAGAATATGTACAAAAGACTCATTATTGTTTATTACTGAATATGTATTTGATTGAATTCATTTTTATATATGTGAAATGAACAATGTAATTCATTAATAATACGTAGAATATTAAAACACACATGAGGAGACAAGTCAGCATTGTTTTCGTGAGTGACGATAGTTCTACATAAAAAAATGAAGAAAATAAGACCCTGGTTGTAGCTGTAGTGAACTTAATTTAAAAAATTGATTACCTGTATGTATGTTTCAAGTAATGTTATTTAATAATAATAAATGGAACACCAGAAGTAGCTAACCACTAGTGGTAAAGAAATAAGGAGAGACGATTGGGAACGCCAACGTATGAACAGTAAGTGCGTACATGTGAAAATATATCGTCATTTCTCTTCATATGAATATGAAAGCAACGCTTATTTACTGTTCATATATGTTTTAAATAATATTTCCGAATGTAAAACAAAAATTCTACTCACCAATGGTGGTAAAGTCTAAAACATAAGGACATCCATTGGATATTGTGTGAGTTTTTACTCAGATGACAAAGTCTTCAGGTTCAACTCTGGCTGAAGCTGTAGCTTTCCATAAAGCTGTTGCTGAAACTGTTACTGATCCTGAAGTTGCTGTTGAAGCTGCTTATGATGGTGAATTTGATGGTGTAGCTGAAGTTGATGGTTTAGGCCTTCGAATAATAAAGATGTTGAAATAACCTTGCACAGCTGCTTTTCTCGTTATACATCTTTATGTAGAGTTCATTTGCATTTATTTAAATTTTAATGCTCTGTTCTGTTAATGGAGCCACTTCAGAAAATATGTTCATTGCTTGCTCCATATAATATCCACAGACCTCTCACCTTTTTCATATCGTTTTAACACATCTAGTTTCTCAGCTAAGCTTATACACTTTCTATTAGCTTTTGAAACAACACTACCATCACTTGCTCTCTTGCTCATGTTGAATAGGGCTGCAAAAATTCTGTAAGAAACCCGAGAAAGTTTTTCTCCTGTTCCTGTTCCGGATGCCTGAAAACAAAATGCCCGCCAAGCTCTGACTGTTGTTTACCACTCATTAGCCAGGCAGTTTCGTTGCACAAGGCACTCTTCATTTTTTTTTACAGTATTTTTTATTTTATTTTTTTTATCATACATATTGGGATCTAGTTATTATTTATATAAAAATGTAATTTTTTTTTATTTTTTTTTTATTTTGGTCATAAACACAAGTGAAATAAGGACATAAATTGAATTGGGTCCTAAATTAACTAGGGTTTTAAATATGAAAAGTTGTTATCGAAGGCTTTACTGTACAGTAGACCCTTGCCATTCGCGAGGGATAGGTTCCAAGAAGTGGCGCGAATTGGTAAAACCGTGAATAACCGCTTATATATTACCTGTGCACTAATATACAGGTATACCTACTGTATACTGTGTATGAAAAACTTAAGTCACAATACTGTACTTACATTCATATGTGGAAGTCTGGAGCTTGTTGAAGTGGTGCACTGTACCTAGGGAGACCTGGTTACTGAAGCATAGTGGATTATCAGGATCACTGGTGGAAGAGGGTGATGCAGTGGTGGTTGGTGGAGAGGTGGGTGGTGGAGTGGTGCGCAACCGGGAGGTGGATTCGTTCACACCAAACAACCGACCAACTGCGGCAGCACTCGTCCCCTCTTTTAACTTGTCTCATAATTTAATTTTCTTTGCCATGGTCATCACTGACTTGTCCTTTCTGTTTCACTCCGCTAGCATCACTAGCACTGGCACTAGGCAGTCTTTTTGGGGCCATTTTCACAAAGAAACCTGAAAGTTTTGAGAGTATGACACTGGATGCTAGGTCACGGGTACTGGGTGAGGGCAAACAGAGCGGGATGAGATGCCGCGGGCGCACGGGGTGACTCTTTGCGTTGAGGGAGAAGCCACCCGAGCCACCAGCTGCTTACCGTGAATCGTCGAAATTGTGAATCGTAAATCTGCGAATGGGAAGAGTCTAATGTATTGAGAGAAAAGCATCCATATTGATTTTGGGGTCATTCGGTCAGTGGTTTTGCTGAAATAATAATCACACTTTCTGTACTGTGACACAAGTTTCCACACACACAGATGAACATTGTAGGTACCGTTCCCTTATGGAGAGGAAGGTTATGGATTTTGTGATTCCTTGATGAAAGGTCAATGTCATCATAGTTTGAAAGTGATTTTTCTGGCTTCTGTACCAAACTCTATTTTATATAATTTTCCATGCACCAATAAACATAGATATCTTAACATGTGGAAGGTTTGCTAACTTTCAAAGACAAATTTATGTGGTTTGAAAATACTTTTTAATTTTTCTGTATATAACTCTCTCTCTCTCTCAATATCACATCTTTATTTTTCCATTTACACTCTTTACTTCTAAATATTCAAACTACCAAAGTATAATTTTTTGCAAATTATTCTCTCTCAGGAAAAAGTATCACTGGTGGCTAGGAAAAAGCCAAGGACATTGGAGCCAAAGACTGAACCCCAGGATGATGATGATAAAATGTTTTACATTCCAGTAAGTATTATGATTTCGTGTATTTTTTTTGTAGCATCTCTGTGTCAACTTATTTTTAAATTAACCTTATTATTTTATGTTCTGTACTGTAGGTGACCTATATTCAGAGTTGTAAAGTAACTAAATACATGTAAATTTACTTGAGTACTGTACTCGAGGAACATTTTTGGGTATTTACTTTTTGAAAAGTAGTCACATTTTTTAGTACTTTTACTTAAGTATGGTTTTCTAATAATTTTACTCCAATACATTTAAAAACAAATATCGTTACAGCTGCTCCTCGACTTACGACGAGTTAGGGACCCAAAACCAGGTCGTAAGTCGAAAATGCGAAAATAATACATAGAAAATCTAGAATGGGTGTCTCTTTTTCTTCTCAGCACCACAATTCTCTCGCTTTTAAGCTTGCCAGCCATTTTAAAATGAATTACTAACGAAAATTTTGTCAGTACACAGCACAATCACTAAAGTTGGGACTTGAAAATACGTAATTTGACAAAATTTTGGTACGACTGAGGCGGGCGTATATCCGGGTGGTCGTAGGTTGAGTATGTCATAAGTCGAGGAGTAGCTGTACTCGTTACATGCAAACTAATAATATATATTTTAATTAATTAATTATTAACCATAGTAAAAGAGTTGTGTGGGTGGAGGATATGGTGTGGGTGTAGCCATGAAGGGTATGGTGTGGGAAGACACCACACGGTCATATACCTAGAGGTCTCATGAGGTAAGGAGACGTCGGGTCAGGTCAGGTCAGGTGGCAGTGGCCATGACAGCGGGCTTTCCCTTCGATCTTTTTGTGTCCATTAGCACCTTGACCACCCACCTCACCTAGCCTACCATCTTATCACTCCTTCCCCCATCAAATCCCCTCTCTTCTCCCCCACCTTTCCTTCAGGGGCTTGGTTTTTCTGTTAGACATCAGTTGCTCTCTGCATATTCCTGTACCTAAAATGAATTTCAAAGATGATGTGATTTTAGAATACTTTACATAAATCTGAAGTTAAAATTCTGCTTGAATAATTAAATACCACTGTCCCAGCATCCACCAGATGTTATATGGTGTGAAAAATTCAGCCACTCATCAAATAAAGTCACCACAGCCACGCCCCAATTAGAGGGACAGTTCACGGTGAGGCGTCAGACTCCGTCATTATGGAGGCAACAATCATCCACAAATTCCTCAACTGAAGGAGCTTGACAGCTACTTGACATGCCCAGGGGATGGAATGGAGATACTGAGGTCTTTCCTGACATTATAGACATTATGTGACTTATTTCTCAAGCTTGTGAGTCTGTTTAGTCAGGCTGGGCTTGTTATTTATTAGCTAATTACTGTAATTTATTACACTCCAGGGGCGACAAGCCCCTAATACATTGGTACGCCTGTCTAATAGGACACGCCATGAATTGTGATATGGAGACAATATTGATATGATTTAGGGACAATGGGAGTTAGCACCCACCAAAGCTTGGGTAGCGTACAAGAATTAAATCTAAATTATTATGAATAAGTAGGTGGTGAAATATAGTACAGTATTAGTGACTTGTCCTGTGGTAGGAGGTCCCTAGCAGTGGGACAGTCAAGGCAATGATGTTGAAGGGTGTTAGCGTTGGGACAGTTACAGAGTTTACAGGAAGAGAAGTGTAGGTCATCTCCAGCTTCAGATATTTGCCAGATAGGTCTGTATCCTAACCTAATGCGAGCAGAGACAACATTATGTCTGCAGACCATAAGTCCACGTCGATGATATTTGTGTGGATAAGGAAGAAAGTGATCATAGTGTTGGATGGATACATTTTCAGCCCGTTCACTATCCCTGTGATGGATTGTAGGGAGAAGAGTGGCTGAACGTATTCTCTTTTGGTGGTCATGCTGAGATTATATTTAGGTCTAAAACAGTGGTTCTCAACCTTTTTTGGCTGCGACCCTAGATTTTCCAACAATACAGTGTCATTACCCTCAGGCATATAATATATTATATAGCTTAAATGTTAAGCAAGCATTTGTTTGACTATGATAAGTACTATATTTTTTAAATTGTCTGAAGGCCCCTCGCGACCCTACTGAGGACACCCTGCGACCCTGATTTGGGTCGCGACCTGAGGTTGGGAACCACTGGTTTAAAAGATCCTAATGGACAGCCATTATTTTGAGAATCCATTATTGATTAATCTCAGTAGAAAGATTTGCAAATAAACATGTGTAATGCTGTGTGTTTTATTTTTATCTTTAGTTAATTAGTTTTTATAATTTATGTGGATTTATTTTAATATTTCAGACAATTAATAATTTTGTTGTTACTTTTTACTTTCAGTGCCTGTACTGTACTTGAGTTCTTTATGAATGCGGTACTTTTTTACTTTGATTACATTGAACTTTGGATACTTTTACTTCTACTTGAGTAACATTTTGCCAATGTAACAATACTTCCATTTGGTAACAAAGTCCTATATTAAATTTTTATTTGGCCTAAAGCTTCTGTCTAGTGGTTTAGAATATTGGCACCTGCAGAAAATATGATTAGGGACTTTGAATTATGGACTGCAGAAACCTTAGTCATAGAAATCAAGCAATAATTTGAAGTTATGAAGATGTAATCTCTCAAGATGTATTTGCTCCTCTTGAACCTGAAAATTTTGCAGTCTAGAGGTGAAGTTATGGGGTTTTGTGATGTTGTCTAGCACTCAGGATGGGTTGGAGAAAGGAAACTCGCAATGCATTTTCTGTATTTATATTGTATTGGATGTACAGTGCAGTTTGGTGCTGGGAAGTTGCTGCATGGTTAGAAGCGTGGAGTAGAGAGAGCTGTTTGGTCAGGAGCTTGCGGGGCTCAGGTAGAAGAAGAGAGTTCACTGCGATGTTGAGAGCTTATATAGCGGAGGTAGGCGTGGCTTGACAGCCGACTCCGCTTTGTTAGACCATGAGGCTTTGGCTGGGGAACTTGACAAGGGATCTGCTGGTCAGCGACAAACGGCAGTTGTAGTTGTAGGGGAAATATCCACTACAATACTCCCCCTCCCCTCTGGACGGTGCAGGAGACTTGTTGTCGGCAGGGTTGTATCCCACATGTGAGACATAACGGGCGGGGGTGTGGATTAGCCGGCCGCTACGGGAGACAACTTTGTCTAGAGACACGAGATCTGTGGGAGAAGCAGAGGTAGAAGGAGGGTTGTGGGTAAGAGAAGGTTGTTCTGGCGAGGAATGTGGTGCTTCTCTTGCGGCAGGTACACAGTCCTCAGTGGCGCCGGTTGGGGTGTCTGGGTCCATAAGGTCGGCTGCAGGGTTCACGTCAGGGGCAGTAGGTACCTGAGGATGAAAAGAGGGTACCCAGAAATGTTGTGGGCGAGGTGGTGCTGCAAGTGGCAATGGTGGGCAGACTGGCGGAGGAGGTGCGGGATGAATGTGTTCAGGGCGATGGGAAGGCTGGCGTGGGCCAGTAGCCTTGAATGCAGAAACTGCCTGTCGTAGTGTTTGTAGTAGGTCGTGATGGGCAGCAGGAGTGAAGTGGTCAAGGTCAGAAGTAAGGCGTGTGATGTGCTGCTTGATAGTGTCAGAGGTTATGGCGCCTACCAGTCTCCGTCGATGTCGCTTTGTCGTGTGGTTGCAGGGAGCCTCACAGCGTCTAGCTTTAGCACCAAAACGTTGATGGTACCAACAGGGGGTATATACATTGTGCTGGGGGCTGCGTCTGAGGCAGGACGGGTGTGTTGGGGTCGGTAGGACGTAGTGCATGGGGAAGGAACAGGAGCAGCTGCTCTAGGGTGTCCGACCTGCAGTGTAGGGACAGTAGCAGGTCCCGCATGTCTTGTGAGGTGTTGGTCGTGGGGAGCGCTGGTCAGGTTGACGAGACTGGGGGAAAGTGAAAGTGTAGCCACTGAGTTGTGTGCAGAAGCATGGCGCACAGCAGTGTATTCGTGGAATACTCTGTCTGCCGTGGCTGCATAGGTCGTCGAGGTAGTAGAATAATCCAATACTGAGAGGACAAGACGAACTTCTGCAGGGAGCTTCTGAGTGTGAAGCTGGTGCAGGATAGTGTCAGGAAGCCTGTGTGTGTGGCGGGAGTTCAGTTTCCGCGTCTCGTCCTAGAGACGTGCAGGCGTGGAGTTGCTGAGGGCGAGACAGGATAGGTCTTGTAGGAGACTGGTGTCAGGCCACTGGTATCGCCTCTTGAGAGCATCACATAGAGCTGCGAATTTGTTGTCAGCTGGAGGGTTGGTGATGGTTTCTCAGACTTGTGTGGCGACTTCTGTGGGCAGGGAACAGATCAGGGTGCCGTATTTCTGTTCGTCTGTAGCTGTAGAGCCAATGAGAGCTGCCTCCGTGTGGATAAGCAAGTCTTCAATGTTGTGATTGAAGACTGGGAGAGTGATCCGTTTCTCCTCCATCCTGTGTGAGTGCGTTTCTCCGGGGGTCACCATTTGTGGGGTTTCGTGATGTTGTCTCGCACTCAGGATGGGTTGGAGAAAGGAAACTCACAATGCGTTTTCTGTATATATATTGTATTGGATGTACAGTGCAGTTTGGTGCCGGGAAGTTGCTGCGTGGTTAGAAGCGTGGAGTAGAGAGAGCTGTTTGGTGAGAAGCTTGCTCAGAGGAGGTGATGCTTGTTGCGGGGCTCAGGTAGAAGAAGGGAGATCACTGCGAGGCTGAGAGCTTATATAGCGAAGGTAGGCGTGGCTTGATAGCCGACTCCGCTTTGTTAGACCATGAGGCTTTGGCTGGGGAACTCGACGAGGAATCTGCTGGTCAGCGACAAACGGCAGTTGTAGTTGTTGGGGAAATATCCACTACAAAGTCATAACAATGTATACTTACATATTAAATGGGTAAGTCCTCTTTTATAGGGATTATTCATATGAACCTTTTGACATAAATTACATAACCGTGTCATTCACAGTTCTTGTGTCACAGTGTATGCAAGGTTCTGTGGTGACTTTGTTAGTTTCACATCTACTATGAAGTAAATATATACAAAATTATACATCACAGGTGTCATGGATATACTGTACTCTTGGAATGCAACCCCTCCCTTTATTTTCTTTCTTTGGCTATAAATATAAGACCCATGAGTTTTGAATTTGGCTATATAACAGCAACTGTCATGACACATTAACATGATTTTACAAGGGCTTCCTGTACCTTGAAAGTTCAGTTTAATGTTGATCTAAATCTGACTTATGTACAGGTATGTGGAAAGTAGGGTGAGAATTAAGAGGTAGAGTATTAACAAAGATTCTCCGTAATAGCCAGTTGGCTGATGAATGGGATGATTTCCGACATTTTTGAGCTGTTGGAATTTATGGCTACATTGTAGTCTAGGAAAACAGTGATTGCAAGATTATAACATCAGTGATCATTGATTATATTTGTTTGTAATTTATATGTAAGCACTGAGGATACATAGTGTGTCTGTGTGCAGTATACAATACGTACACTTGTGCCAGTACATTAATGTAACTGGATATTTTTAGTTAATGTCTTTATATAACAGGGATTGTGCCCCTCAAAAGCACACTGGTCGCAAACCTTATATGCAGTAAAATTTGGTGATAACATATTTGCGAGTCTACAATGAAAAGAAATTGACAGCAGGAGGAGGATTTATCAAGAGTTTGTGTATTTGTTAGAGAGAAGCAAATTTTAGAGTTAAGTCCACTGCAGGGATTTGAACCTTTAAGTGGAAGCTATTGAGTAAAGAATATTTTCAAGTTGAAACTGAAATAAGCTTTCTACAGATTTAGTAATACATGTGATTACAATTACAGTATGTTGGATTATTCGCAGGTTCGTGGCCATCAGTTGTACAATTTCTTGCTTGACATGAAAGCTGTATACTACTGCAATCATCCAGACTATGCCGCTAAATACCCAGATGATAATACTCGGCCCAACAGGTAAGTTATACATTTTCACTGACAGTAGTTACATATTAAAAGTGTTTCGTGGTTTTTATTTCAGCATGTTAGTCATCCGTTGGTTTTCATATGCTGTTAATATGCACATTTACAGTACTTTGATATACTGTAATAACAAATAAATATCATCACTAGACAAAGTGTAGAATACCAAATTTGAATTTGTGTATCAAAGATGAGAGTCACAGATGATGGTCAAAATTAAAAATCTTGTCTGGATCATGCACTTTGTGCTTAAGGTTGGGAGTCTTTTTCATACTTAAGGTTGGGAGTCTTTTTCATACTTAAGATTGGAGACATTCTCCATTTATGGTTGGATGCAAGTATCTTAGGTGATTATGTTTGACATGTCAGTTTGTCATGCTACTTGTTAAATCAAGAAGAAACAAAGAATTTATTTCAGACTTGAAGCGCTGTATAAACATATTCAGGTTGGAGGGGAGGATTAGCTTTAGGTGCATGACTTTTGACTGCGGTACAGTACAGTACTTTTTTTCTATAAATATATGGTGGCATTACGGAGTGATATTTCAGCAACACTGATTACTATGCCTCAAACTTGTTACACACTTCATGGTGATTTCTATGCTGTGTAATTTCCTGATTTGCTTTAGACATACAGTATTACACAAATACCACAAGTTCATAGTGTGTTGTCTTGTAGTATTAAGAATTTTTTGGGGTTGGCATCTGAGTTATAGGCTTAAGAGTAGTGAATGTCACTTTCATGGATTGTCTCTTATAGTACTGTACTGTATCACTTCCTGGGTGAATGACAGTTAAAATTTAGACAGTGCAATAAATCCCTGTGCTGTGTCATGTAAAGTAAGGGATACAAGCAATGCATAGTTTAATATTTTTATATTATTTTCTTGTACATAAATGTATCTAATTAGTATAGTCATCAATGCATCATACAAATATACTGTACTGTGGTCTTTTTATAATGAGTGATGAATTTCCCATAACTTTTGTTTAGAGAGCATTGTTGTTTTACTTCATGGTTTTATTATTGTTATTATTAGTAGTAGTATTATGAGTATTATTATATTATTATTAATTTACTATTCATTCTCCCAAAAATCTATTTAAAGCACATATTTGAAAGGACTTGGTAAATATTTGTGAAATTGTGTTTACTTCTTCATTTTAATCAGTTAAAGCTAAACTCTAGAGCTGGGGCATACGAACTTTTTGCATAGAGGGCCACAATAAAATCATTTGATGTACGATAATCCATACACTCGATACATTGCTTTTAAAATTCAAAGCTAGTGAAATTTAAAGCTCAAAAGACAAGATGCTTACTTACGGTGTTTGTTGACTGTGGAATGAATTGTTAATGGCATGGGTGACTTTGTACTTTGCTGCACTAAGTATGCATGTGTCTGGCTGGATGGATGACGTAACAACATGAAGGGCATTCAGTAGGTGCACATCGGTAATAGAGGACCTTAATTTGTTTTTAGTTATAATAATTTTTGAAAAAGGATGTTCACATATTATGTATGCTTCCAAACACCAGACAACATTTATGAGTGAGCCTTGGGTGTAGGGGTCGCAGACAGGGTTCATGGTAAATTCAGAAGTGGGCCACATTGAAAGGCTTCAAGGGCAGCATTCGGCCCTAGGGCGGCAATTTACACAGCCCTGCTCTAGAGCATACATTATTGTAAAAATGTGCAGTAATTTTAATTTGGGTTTAAATTTTGAATTGCTGAGTACAATAGCTTGAAATTTATATAAATTAGTAAGTCCTGGAGTTAACTTAAAAAATAGTGGTGCAATTTTTTTATGCCTGTGTAAGTAAATTAAAGAAAACCTTGTTTGTAGGAGAGACTTATTAGCTCATTGGACTGTTTTAACAATTTGATCAATATTTATTAATACATCTTCAATTAAGATTTAACCAAATTTCAGAACTCAGTAAGAAGAATAATCAAAAGGCTATATAACAGAACAAAAATAAATGTATGGCTTATTTGAAGATGATTTGGGGGTTAGCTACCCAAGGAAACACAAGTATTAGTGTTCAAAATAAACCTTAAATTGAGTACAGTACAGATTTGGAGAACTGACAGGTGATTTCATAGTGCTAGTAAAAACACATGAATATCATGAAGCTGAAATGCTTGGGACCAAGAGGCTCTTTGGAAGTACCACAGGTAATTTTAGAAGTTTTAAATTAGATAAATTTATATTTCAACAGTGTGGCTTGTGATGGGTCACTGGTGTGTGATGTACAGTATATATGAATGGCACTACAATTGACAAATTTTTATAATAAGACAGAGAAATATACCTGCATATCTAACAAATTGATGAACATAAAAATTGCATTAGAATTTTACTTAATGTGACATAGGTCATTGAAAGGTCCATATTATGACAATAAAACCTTGATAATTCAGCATGTATGGGGATCTGGCCTTGTCGAATTATCCCAAATTCCGACTTATCGAGGCACTCCTCCCCCCCCCCCCATCTACAAAAATACAACATTAAATAATTATTTGCCCATATACATATACAGTACTGTACATGTAATTTCTAATTTTAAAAAAGTAACACTTACCAGCACTTCAGGTAAAGAACGAAGCATTGTAGTAGGCAAGAGGCATGGTAGGTGACACAGAGGCATAGTAAGTAACTCAGGGGAATGGTAGGTGATGCAGGGGAAAAGCTATGTAAACAGTGCGGCACTTATGTACTGTAATTTGGTACCTTATACAAAATAAAGTATAAATTTAAACAAAAATCATATAATTCAAGTTTTGGTATGTAAGTACAGTAAACACGTATCTTATAGGGATATTATAGGCCACCCTTGTAAAATTGTTTTCTTCATTACAGAACAAAAGAGTAAAAATTAAAATGCTCAAATGTAACTTAGAAATAAAGAAAATATTATGTAAAACTATAAAATAAGAAAAATGAAGAGCATGTGTGTGTGTGTGTGTGTGTGTGTGTGTGAAGGCCACTCAGTGAGCTGTACTGCTTGGCTGACGCATCCACCTCCACCTCCCTCCTATGTGACGTCACTGCATACACACACACACGCACACATACATCATAGTCAACTGGTTGACTGCCTGGCTGAACTATGGCATCACTTAGATGATGGTTTAAGTGTGGAAGGAGCTATTTTTTTAAATAAAATGTGTGCTATTGCATTTTATGATATGCTTTGTATCAATTTTATTGTTTATTAGCAATTTTTGTTTAAAAAGCGGTTATAGCACTACAGGTGTCAGACATGCAATTAAATGACTTCAGTTGCCATTTGATTGTTGGACTAAATTAGAAGTTTTACCAAAGGGGACAAAATTGGGATACTTGGAAGATTCAGATTGTTGGGATTCAGATTAAATGAATTGCACTGTAAATTAAATAAAATCTATGACATTTGATTAATAGTGGAGATGTTCTGCATACAGTAGCTGACCTGACATGAATGGGGAAAGTTGTTGGGTGTTCCTGGGTTAGTACGACATGAACCAAATTTTACCAGGGAGTGCTGAGTATTAATTCTGGTGCCTTAGATACTCTGTGGTGCAATGTATAGTTTTGTACTGTACTTTATACCCAAACTATTGGGGTGCTACAGATTCCTCCCTTCCCACGTCCATGTACTGGGTGGAGTGAGCCAGCACACACCCAACCACAATAATAACAAACACCAGACTAACCAAGCGTGGAGTACAGCGAGGCGAATCTTATCCACATGGCCAAACATGCCGAGGTTTTCCCAGATAATTTTATATAACTTGGCATTTTCCGAGTTTTTTTATAATAAATTCTGAGACCATATATGTGCCGAATTATATGAAATTCCGTGTTATCAAGAGTTTACTGTACAGTGGTCCCTCGGTTAACGAGCACAATCCGTTCTAGAAGGTTGCTCGTTAACCGAAACCATTGTTTCAATGGGTTTTTGTGTAATTGGTTCCAGCTCACCGAACATTGCCTAAATTCAACAAAAAAGGTAGAAAAGTACACTTACTTTGAGGTGTGTATGTAGAAGGCTCCTGGATGATGATGATGATGATGGGAATTAGAATGGGGGTGGAGGAGAAGGGAGAAGAGAAGGCATTGGGGTGGAAGAGAAGTCGCCCCATGGTGCCATTTCACCCATAAAATTTTAGTTCTCTTGGTGTAATTCAAGATTATTATCTTTAAATCAACACTGCACTGCATTATATATTGTCAATATGTAAAATCAATTTCAAAATGACCAATAATTTGCTTGCAAGCACAGAAAAAAGCGTTTAGTTGAAGAGAGTCTCAAGCAAGATGTTACCTCCACTGAAAAGCCTGTATGGTGGTGTGTTGGCAGGCTGGATGGCATGCATGAAACTAGTGACCTTACCTTCAATTATGTTCAATAATTGTTAACATTACTAAAAAATTTAATATTAAACTTTTACAATTATTGAATAGTATAAACTTCTTGATATTTACTAAAATGGTAAGGAATTTAAGCCCTAGAACCGATTACTGTATTGGCGGACTAATACTACAGCTGGTGGACCGCCTAATGCAAACGAAAACATGTTTAGGTCGGCTAGTAAGAAACTCGTTAATCGAGGGATTGCTCGTTAACCGAAGTTAAGAATCTTATGGAAGGTAACTCGTTAACCGAAATCTCGTTAACCGAGGCGCTCGTTAACCGAGGGACCACTGTACTTCCATCATCTGCCATAATAAACAGTGGGACTACCAGCTGCATGATGCTTACAACTTCATATCTCATCTTCACTAAACTCACTTTTGGTACATAGATACATTTTACTGCAGGAAAATTAATTATTTTTTATTATTTCCTCTAAATACGCACCAAGGTCTGTCATACACTTGTTCAGTCAGCGGCAGTGAATATAAACTATCGGCATGTTTACCATGCACCCAGATTTTTCTTATTTATTCTGAAGATGTATGTGAAAAAAAAAATGCAGTATTTCTTTATCTATTTGTTCTTT